AGCGCTTGCTGGGCACGGGCGTCGGCGGCCGGTCTCGGGCGCGCTGCAGCGGGGGAGTGCAAGGCGAGGGAGGAGAGCGGGGCGGAGACGGGGTCGCAGAGGGAGACCTGGTCTGGGGTCGCGACTCAGTCGAGGTCGGGGTTGAAGGCGGGGAGGCGCAGTCGTCACGACGGCCGCTGCGTCTGCGTGTGGGCCGGTGCTCGCAGCAGCCGGCCGAGTCGCGGGCCGGCCGGAGGAAGGCTTTCGGGCAGCAGCAGTGTCCCGACCTGCAACACAGTGTGCGCACGCCTCGTCAGACAAGCTGTTGCAACAGAGAGAGCATGTTAAACGAGAAACGTGAAAGAACAACAGCGTTTCCCTAAGGAACTCTGGAAAAAGGGTGGTATGTCTTGGCTATAATATTATCGATAGCACATGGTCATTTTCAAAAGTACATTATACGGTAAATGAAAGATTTTACTAACCCGCAATATAATATAATACGGTTTGTTATGGATGACAAACATTTTTTTAAAACTTGAAATATGCAAAGTATAAAACAATGTAAGCTTTAACATCAGGCATCAATACTGATATGACTGTTAGGCGTAGCAGCCTTCGAGAGTCGACCAAGAGGTTGCTACGTACATTGCCTTACAGTCCCAGAGGAATTATTGCGATTAGGCCACGGCCTGTCAGCCTGGAATTCTGAAACTTTTCTCAAAAGTGTCTCCTAATTTTGGTTCCATATTGATTAAATATTGACCTCAGAGGGCGCATAAAGTCTTAAAGGGATTGTACAGATCTAATTTTTGTTGAAATGGAGCTGGAAAATGATTTTCGCAATATTACATAATTTCAATCTTTTTTGGGAGTTTTCGTACCACTTCATAGAGAAAACAGAGATTATTTTCGTGAATGAAATTAATTGTTGAAAAGGTTGTGAAGGTTGTGAAAAAGAATTGTGATAAGGTCATGTGCAATTTTTCGAAAATGTGCGTAATTTTATAGGAAATAATTTTTCCAAAACGGCTTCAATTTATCTATAAATTCTCTCCTTGCATACATCAATTAACGTTAAAAGTATGGAGCTTGTCCTGCTTCCGGCGAGTTCTATTTTTTCTAATTTCAAAAAGGTACGCTTCCAAAACAACAAATTTGAATATAGATATTTTTTTCACTTAAACTAAATTCTATAAATTAAGTTCTATAAAAATGTCATGTACAATGATTTGATCCTTAATACATCATTTAGATGAATTATAAACACAGGAAGCAATTGTATTGAAAAAGACTAAGAAAAAGAAATATTCCCTTCTGTGTAATGAAAATGCTTGTGTAATGATAATGGTGGTGTGAAAGATAGTCTTGAATTTCTGAATGTCTGAAGTATTTTGATTGGAAAATTGTGTGTGCGACAACTGAAGTATGTGACACAAAAAATGTTTGCAAAGTTAATATTTTCTGATACATTAGAAAATGAATATTTCAAAACCGAAAATTTTATATTAAGATCAACTAATATTTGTGCCATATCTGTGACAAAACGAGAAAAGCAAACATGATTAAAACGGTAATGAGTTATTTTTTTAAATGCATCACAAATCAAAAAAATATTATTACATTTTAGCAACACATTTCAAAAATTATGAATTTTGTGTAAAAATATCGTATAGAAGTTAAAGAAATAAAGTATTAAATACATTTAAGATTAAAATCAATTTAATTCTCTTATTTTCTCAAAATCCCTTTACATAAATCATTAGAGTTAGCGCATGTCATTAGTTTAATTTCATGAAAATAATAAATATGTTTTTAGATTAGGATGTAGAAAAATCTGTGAAATTCAAAATCCGTCTTAAAAAAACACAACCGTCCAAAAGGTACAAGGCCTGAAACTACACCAAATTGAATACTAATTTTTCTTACATCCTGGTGTAAACTGTCTCATTTTAATGGAAAGTTGCCTTGGACAAAAGCTTTAGATAAACAGGGTGAGGCACGTACCTTTAACACCTATAATTTTTAAGCGGATGAAGTGATTGCAATGCAGTTTTCATGGAAGGGCATGAGAGAATGTGGTTAATTGATAGATGTATACATTTTTACTTTATCAATTGTATTTAAAGATATATTTGAGGTAAATTTCTTTTTTCAAATAGAACTGTACATATTTTTCCAATCTATCATGACGAGAGTGAAAAGACGAATCCAATGATATACAAATTATATGTATAAATGTTTATGTAGAAATTTTTATTTTTTGCAACTAGTGTTAAATGCTATTGTGAATGTAACAGTCCGTCACAGGTCACGCAGCGCTCCCCCTGCCAGCGGACGCTCTGGGAAGCGAAGGGATCTTAGCATTTGAAGATACGAAACATTCCAATTATTCACAAAACTCGTAGCGTGTCTCGGTTGATTGATTGATTATTTAGTGATTCCGCACTTAACTACCAAGGTCATTAGTTCCGTAAGTGTAATGCATGTTTTTCGCTCCGGAGGTGGCGGTGTTCTTTTCCCCCTGTATGGCGAATGCCGGCACCGATCTACCGTTGGCTAGCGGGGTTTTCCCCAACCAGGTATCTTCCACTATCGGGACACCGCCCCACCCGGGACGAGCTCTTAGCTCAGTACGGGTCTCCCGGTATGTGCAGTGCATGTCAGTTTAAGAAGTGGGAAGGTGTGTGGGAAGTGTGGGAAGGATGAGGGACAAGGAAGGGGAAGTTGATATCGCGTGCGGTCAGTGGCCCCTTTGTTAGGATAGTACTCCGGCATTTGCCTTGTGTTGATCGAAGGCACCACGGAAAACTACCGATCAGAGCAACCAGCCGCTAGAATTCTCCTCCAAACAGTGACTGAATTCGCCCTAGCTCACAAGCTAGTGTCACGCAACGCTCCCCCTGCCACCGTCGGAAGTCGAACCTAGGATCTCTGGTCAGAGGGACTGGGATCATTTGATGCTTTGAGCCCTCTCCCGGTGCGTGGACGGCTGGGACGGCGCCCCACTCGTGGAAATGCCTGCTTGGGGAAATCTCAGCCAGCTGACTTGTAGTTCGGCGTGATCAAATAGCTGACCAACCTGTAATCAACAATACTCATCGATTGTCAACATTTCACTAAACTCTATCCTTTGATAGCTCTAACATGCCAAAACCTTGCTGTATAACATCCCTCTGGAAAACCAGTCAGCAACCTGGAATTTGTGTTCGGAACGGATGGTAATGCAAATGTTTCGCTACTTTTTTATTCCCTCCCCTTATGAAGTTTTAATTACAAAGAGCTATTGTAAACGTCGGAAGAAGAATCCTCGGGAAATCATTGTTACCAATAGCTATTGACCGTAAAATTTCTCGAATATTTTCCAACAATACTCATCGTTGATTTATCTGTAAATGCTCACGAGAGATGCAATCACTATAATTGGAGTGATATTCATAATGGAATGTCTCCTAATTTTCCAGGCACGCGGTAGGTAAAATAATAATCTCTTATTTTAAAGGGAAAACCACAAAAATCACTGGCAAAAAACTGTGCAATGATAATTCAAAAATAATGAAATAAAATATTGACACGTTAGAAATAATGAAAAAGTATCAAATTTGACGAGAGTTAAATTTAATGATACGCCATTTTCTCCTTTTACTATGCCTGATGTTTTCTCTGTGTTTTACTCTCAAGTTGAAGTGTATGTTTATTGTAAGTGAAAAGTATTTGGAAAGAGACATATTTAACAAATTATAGGTAAGAGGTAAATTTTCTAATTACCTATCTCTGTAAAAATTTAATGAAATACTTAAACAAAAGCAAAAGTTGAAACTTCCAAACTTTTCTTGTCAGATGTTTAAGTTTACGTAATGTAAGATCTGAGAAATTTAATTTAGTTTAAATGATGAGCAGGGAATATGCTTCGTTGTTATTCAAATTCTGCATTACAAATAGACATATGCCATATAATTTGCAAAAATATGCCTTAAATATCTTCAACAATATTCACGTGAATGACATATAAATAATTGTGGAGTTTTCAAAAGGTGAATTAAACGACTTTCTATGGAATGTGCGACATCACTAGGTCAGGTAGCGTCACAATCTGTGTGTTGTTTAGAGGTATTAATTAGAAGTTCAAAATATTCCTCAGCGGAGTCCTTGATTCGGGAACTCTAATAATAGAGGTATTGTGTATTACAATGGAAGTAAGCAACAATCTATGCCGATTAAATTCGCAAAAAGTAATGAATAGAAAGGGGATTTTTATGGAAGATGAAAAATAAATAAATATGGCTGTAATATAAACTCCAAAGTGGATAACATTCCACGCTAAAATTATTTGTATTAAATTTGGAGACTTACGAATAGTCATCAACAAATGAATGCGCATCATTACTAAATAACATAATCTAGTACATATTTCTTTGAAACTGATAAAAATAAAGTAGCTTTCATGACCTTGCACACAGTATGGCGCTATGAATTAGCCCGAAAATTCCGCTTTATGTCTAGAAGTATATGTAGATGAAGTAATTCTCTTCAGCAAGTCCGTTGTTATCACACGACTTGAAAAGTGATTCACTATGTAGTCTTTTGTCAATGTTGTTGAAAGTTTCAACATGTTGAAATGTTTCGAGAAAATGTTGTTCGCCTCTGTAAAATGAATGCGAGTAGTTTTATTATTTTGTCGTTAAATTTACGCGAGAAAAACGAACATTCAATGTGAGTTAATTTATACTCAGTAGAGTTCCTGAAAATGTTCTATACATTAAAGTTAAAATATTCACAATTCCTACGTTATTTCATATTTTGTGTGTTGTTATTCCGTGTCTCCACTGAATCGGTTAATAGTTAATTAATTAATTAATTAATTTATAATCAAGTATACAAAATTAATAAAAAGGCATTGAATTTTGCACTTTTATATTACAATGTTCACTGCTGTTTCAGCGTCATATTGATGTATTGATAGTGTCTGAATTGTTCAACGTGTTGTTAAACTGAAATCAGCTTAAATACTTTTTTGGTAGTTCGTGTCTTATGCAACTCAGTAATCATTTGTTTCTGACTGCAAATATGATGATAACATGTCCAAAAGAACTAATATAACGTACACCTCCAAAGGAGGTGAACAATTACGTTGCTGTACCTCTGCAATTTACCATATAATAAAGCAGGAGATACTGTTTTAATAAAACTATTTATTTACAAATCGCTATGCAATAACCCGAACCCGAGAAAATAGCAACAAGGGGACATTACACACGCCATTACAAGTCCGACTACTAACTGACAGAGAAAAAAAGTACAAGAATGGTAGATCACTTGAAATTGTCCTAAATATTCGTTGTCACTTA